CGCGCCTGTTGTCCCACAGACACGAGCAGCACAACAGGACCAGTTGGCAGCAGTAGCTTCAGTTCTGTGGAAATCTTACTGTGCTTCTGGATAGAAATATGCTAGCTTTTTCCTCTTCTGTCTAGGAATTCAGCAAAGCCTAAGGTGGTTGGGATGGGAAGCACAATTCTGCAGGTCATTGAGAATGGTGGTAAGAAGAACCAGTCCTGTTTCTATCTTCTTGGCATCTGGATCTATGAATTCTAGCAGTTAGGGGCATGGAATCACATACTGGCCTTTGGTACAGTGCATCCTGGAGAACAGTACCCCAACCCTGCAGGCTGTTATCTCTGAGCTGGTATCTAAGTGGACCCTGTAATAGTCCTTCTCATTGTTCTGTTAGATTGACTGCTTCTGGATAATGCTGCATATGGTAGGATCATGTATCCCATCATTCATGTTGCTCTTCATTTACTACAAAATGGTTTCTTGATCTGAGGTAATGTAATGCAGGATACTATGCTGTAATAGGTATTCTGTAGACTGTCAATTAGTAATGATGTCAGAGGTACTGCTGGAAGGGAAGGCAAGCCCATATTAAGAGTAGAAATTAATTGCATTAGGAAAGAATTGCTTCCTCCTTCAAGGTTGAAGGAAATTAATGCAAACAACTTGCTACTAAGTGGCTAATTTATCTCTTGAAGGGGTGTTATAAACTCACTGGTCTCTACTGCTGACAGATCATATATTCAACAGTGGCCTAACTAGATCAGCCTCAGAAAGCCCAAGCTGTTGGGCCCATGCATAGCCTCCATCTCTGCCACCGTGATTCTTCACTTAGGGGTTTGTTGTGTAAGCCTGGTTGGTCAAGAGCAAGGCTGGCTGAAATCTGAAGGAATCATCCTGTCTACTTTGCCTCCTCAGGTGAGTGCTTTCTTATTGACATTCCATGATACAAATATCTACACACTTCTCCATAACCAAAACACTGTTTATTCTTAACTCAGGCCACATCTTTCTCCATCAGCAGAGATGACCGAGTGCACTGTTTGAAGCTCTGTCCATCAGGAAGATTTTTACCTCAACACTAACCCTTATGGCCATCTATGAGAGGCTGTAATGTGGAAGCAAGCCATTTTTGGCTCATAGCAACGTATCAAGCTGGCCCATCTATGAACAAGGCCCACTTTTTCCTCCTCTGTCATCTGGTATGTTAATATGGCAGAAATAACCTTATTCCTTCACTTCTCCCTGTTTCCATGCCCTTTGCCATAAAATTTTGCCTTGCCTTTCCACTCTGGGTGGAGCATTCTGCCTCACCTTTGGCCTCTGAACTTAGCCATTTGATTTTTCCTTTGGGTCAATAGAATGTTAGTAAATGTAGTCCAAGCAGAGGCTTAAAAAATACTTGGATGATTGGTCTTGCCTCCTCTTGTACCTTCCCTACTGACTTAAGAACATGACTGAGATAGTCTGATGGAGAATGAGGTGTGTGGAGCAGAGCTAAGTTGTTTTAGTCACATAGCAGTCAATTTCAAGATGTGAGCAAACCTAGCCAATATCAGAAAACCTGCCTAGCCAATTCCCAGCTGGCCTGAATAATAAATGCTCATTGTAGAGTCTCATAAAGATTTTTTTTTGCTTTATTACATAGCATTATTATAAAAATAAACACTGATACAACTGACCATAGAGGCTGCCCTGTAGATCACAGGAGTAGCTTGAAAGAGACGCATCAGTGCAAGACAGGTAAATAATATGTAAATCTAGGCTACTTGTCCATGTAATTTACATGTGCCCTCTGAACTTGCTCAGACTTGATCCCAAATATATCATTGCCATCAAATAATGGATTGTTACTATTATCTGACCTTGCAATTTGGTGAGCCTAATAACACCTAGCTCATGACAGCCAGCTCCCATTAATCACTTGATGTCATATATGAGCAGATTATCCATTTTTGTTGGTCACAGAGGCTTGCCAACAAGTGGCAAAATTGAATTCTACTTTAGAAAGGTCACTTTTTGCTGCATGGACCTCACTGAAAGAAACCAAGACTAGAAGCAGGGAGGTATGACTAATTGATCCAAAAGATAAATAATACGATGGTTGAATTAAGGCACTAGCTACAGGGAGAGAGAGAAGACCCATTTGAGAAATGCCTAAAAGTAAATCAGTATGACTTGGTGACCAACTAGATACGAGATTTAAAGGACAGAGAAATCAAGGATGATGCCAAGGTTTAAGATCATGATGACTAGTTACCATTTACTAAATTAAGGAGTGCAAAAGAAAATAAATTTAGAGTAAATAATAATTCCCTTTGAGACTTATTTTGGACCACTTGTGGACATCCAAGTGAAGCTGTCCAGGAGATAGAGCAAGTCTGGTACCTAGGAGAAAAATCTTGGCTGAAGATATAGTTTTGGTACTATCAGCCTATAGTGGATAGATGAAACCAGGATATGGATGTGATCATGAAGGAAAGCTGAGATGTAGAGTTGGAAGAAGGCCAAGGAAGGAACCAGAGGGAAAACACCTAACTCATGGGACAGGTGGAGGAAGAGCAGCCCAGTACAAAGGCTATAAAGACCTAGTCAGAACTAGGAGAAGAGGACCCAGGAAGGATGGCATCACAGAAGTCAATATCAAAGAGCTGTTCAAGTGAGAGGGAACAGCCACCATCAACAAATGCCAGGTAGCACTTACCACACCCCTTTACTTCATTGTTTGACTTTCCTGACAGACTTGAGCTGTGGGAGGGCATCTGTACTTCTTACCATCTTATTTCCAGCTGCAGGTACACAGATACATAATATTTTGTTAAATAAACAAAGATTAAAGCTAAAAGAACCTATTGGATTTGGTAGTAAATAGGTAACTTGGTAACCTTGATGAGAACAATTTTAGAGGAATGATGAGGATGAAGCCATAAAGCAGTGGGTTGAGGTGTAAATGGAATGTGAGAAAAATAGAAGACTCTTTTCAGATCCTTGGTTGAGAAGAGGAAATGATAAAACAACAGCTAGGAGTCAAGTAGGGCAGAAGGGACATGGGAAGGTTTTTAGACATCAAGCCTTTTATTTTTTTTAGGGATAGTAGATACCTGAAGAGGAAAAGAGAATTGGAGGAACTATGTTCTGAAGGGGTAAGAGACAGAATCTAGAGCTTGAATGGAAGAAAGACATAAACATGTAAATAGCTGAATAAAATTAAAAGGCTATGAATAGAAACAACTCTGCAAAAACTCCTGTCAGTCATTGCACGATTAATTGTCAAACAACTGACAGTCAAAAAGGGATCAGCGTCAGGAGAGGAAGAAACCACTTGCATAAGACTGAGAATTTTTTTTTGGAGAATGGAATTTGAGCTGGGTCTTAAAGTGTGTGTTAGGTGGAGAAGATGGAAAAGCGTTCTACATGGACTACTGAGGTGGTATTTTGTAATGATGATGATTTAAAGAAAAAAGAGAGAGAGTGCCCCTGGATCTTTTTCAAGCCATACTTCAAATTTATCAAACATGGAAATTTTCAGCCATTGTTTCTTTTTTGTTTGTTCTGTTTTGGTGAGGGGAGGTAATTAGGTTTATTTGTTTATTTACTTTTAGAGGAGGTACTTGGGGTTGAACCCAGGACCTCGTGCATGCTAAGCATGCACTCTACCACTGAGCTACACCGTCCCCACCTCAGCCATTGTTTCTTTTAAATATTTTGTCTGTCTTCGCTTGCCATTCCTTACCTTCTGGATCTCTTAAGTACAAATGTTAGGCTGCTATTGTCCCACTGTTCACTGATGGTCTATTCATGGTCTCCAGTCTTACAGTCTTTGTGCTTCATTTTGGGTAGTTTCTACTGCAGTCTTCAAGTTCATTGATCTTTTCTTCTTACCATGTCTAATCTGCTGTTAATCTGTGCCCCATCCAGTTCACTTTTCAACTGTAGAAGTTTGACTTGGGTCTTTTTAGGTATCTTCCATTTCTCTCCTTGTCATACTCATGCTTTCCTGTAACTCCTTGAACATATGGGATATATTTATAGTAACTGTTTTAATGTCTTTGTCAAGTAATCCCATCATCTGTGTCATTTCTGAGTCTGTTTCTATTGATTTCTTCTCATATTAGAGCGTATATTCCTGCTTCTTTGCATACCTGGTAATTTTTAATTTAATGTCAGACATTGTAAATTAAACTTTTGGGGGTTACTGGATATGTTTGTAATCCTTTAAATACTTTTGGACTTTGCAATAGGATGCAGTTAAATTACTTGGAAACAGTTTGATGTTTTCAAGTCTTGCTCTTAAGCTTTATTTGGTGGGTGCAGAACAGCCTTTAGGGCCAATCTGACCTTTCTGTTGAGGCAGTATGCTTTTGAAGTCTCCTTCAGTTCCTTATGTGTTTAGAAGTCTTTCTATTCTAATTAGTGGAAATATAAACTATTACCAGTCCTGTGCATGCTCCAAGGATTGATCTACTGACTCTTTTCCAGTAGTTTCTTCTCCAGTCTTGGTAGTTTCCTCAAATCCATGTACCAATTATTATTCAACTAAAGACTCAGGGGGACCCTATGTGGATACCTGGAGCACTCTCTCCTTGCAGCTTTCTTCGCTCCAGAACTGTGCCCCATGAAGTCTAGCTGCCTTGGTATTCCTGAACTCTGAAATCTGTCCCTCAACTTAGGAAGATCATCAAAACTGCTTAGGTCCCCTTCCCTGTGCAGTGGTCTGGGAACTCCCCATGCAGTAAGCTGAAGCATTCAGCGGGTTTGTCTTGGGCTTTTTTCCCCCTTTCTTCCATAAATTTTGACCAATTTTTCAGTTGTTTAAGGAGGGAAGGGTACATGTGGTCCCTGTTATTCTACCATGACCATAAGTGGAAGTTTAGTGCATCAACCTTAGACCCTTAAAATTTTTTTTAATTATGAAGTGTAGTTTATTTACAATGTTAGTTTCAAATGTACAGCAAACCAATTCAGTTATACATATATATTTTTTTCTTTTTAGATTCTTTCCATCATATGTTATTAAAAGAAATTGAATACAATTCCCTGTGCTATACAGTAAGTCCTTGTTGTTTATCCATTTTATATATAGTAATGTGTGTCTGTTAATTCCCAGCCCCTAATTTATCCCTCCCCGCCCTTTCCCCTTTGGTAACCAGTTTATTTTCTATGTCTGTGAGTCTGTTTTTGGCTTCTAAATAGAATTTATAACTTTTTTTTAGATTCTACATATAAGTGATATCACATGATATTTGTCTGATTTACTTCATTCAATATGATCATCCTTAGGTGTATCCATGTTGCTGCAAATGGCATTATTTCATTCTTTTTTATGGATGAGTAATATTCCATTGTATATCTCTATATATATATCAATCACATTTTTATCCAGTCATCTCGATAAAGTGTCCATCTATTGATAGACACTTAGGTTACTTCTATATCTTGGCTATTGTGAATAGTGCTGCTAAGAACATTGGGGTGCATGTGTCTTTTCAAATTATAATTTTCTCTGGGTTTATACCCAGGGGTGGGATTGCTGGGTCATATGGTGAGTCTATTTTTAGTTTTTAAAGGAACCTCCATACTGTCCTACATAGTGATTGCACCAATTTACATTCCCACTTACAGTGTAGGAGGGTTCCTTTTTCTCCACACCCTCTCCAGCATTTATTATTTGTAGACTTTTTAATGGTGGCCG